GGCCAGTTCTCTGATTGCGCTAGGCCTAAGCTGCAGAAAGCTAGGCCTAGGCCCCGCTAGACGCGACGCGCTTCGTTTCGATAAGGCCTAGGCTAGACGCGACGCGCTTCGCTGTCGATACCGCGCCTGGTTATTTTTAGCTCGCGTCTCAGCGGTCACGTTCGCAAATGCACTGTTGTCACGGACCGCGAGACCTCGTTTCCTGTCTCTATATTTTAGAGTCTCATAAGGGAGATCATTCTAAAATTTAAAACCACAGTATGCCAAATAAGCATCAATACAGTTCAAGACCAAGGCTTAAAATGCTTTACAAATCCACTTTGCTGCTATTTCCAAGGCATACTCCACATTTACCTGAATTTTCCTTTATTGTATTTTGCATCTTAAATTCGAAATAACAAAAAGACAAACAGTTGAAATGGATGGAATAAAATCATAAACAATTTTACACTAACCCGAAATTTATCTGGCATTTACCGCCGTTTCTCTTGTTATGAAAGCTGCAAACGCATGCAATTTGTCTAAACTTGAGAGCTGCTTTTTGCGTTATTTTGTATCATGATCTTGGAAGACTAGAAGTAAGTTGCAGAGGATAGAGGGATGCAAATCAAATGCATGTTCAAGGGGGAAATATAGCTTTCCTACTTGTCGTTCCTACCTAGGCTTAGGAGGAACCTAGAACGGCAAAAAAGGGACATTTGTGGCCGTTGCCTTTATATTTTTATAATTTTATATTTACTCACTCTTTCACGATTACGTCGAGTCTAATCTGTACAGTACTCCATCACAAATTTAGCTGAAGTTGTCAAAGTGACCAAGTACTCTTACAACTTATAGAAAAGATCTGATGATGTGACACAAATTTGCAGAGGGTCCTGAGTATATATATATATATATATCAGATCTAGATCTATAACAAATTATGCAGTGGCTACGTTCACGGCGCCGTGAACGTAGTCTGCAGGCTAGGTTCACGGCGGCGTGAATGTAGTTGGCAGGCTACATTCAGGGCGCCCCGAATGCAGTTTGCAGGAGCTGTTGACGCTACGTTCACGGCACTAATGCTTCGTTTAGACGGAGCGTCCACTGCCGGTTTAAAAGGCATGATGGGGGGGGGGGGGGGGAAATTTGGAATTCGTTAAGAAGAAGAAACTAAGCTCACAAATGTGGTAGCATCAATATAAATAGAGTGGAGAATTAAGTCATGAAGTAAAATTTTGAAATTTTATTCCTTTGTGTTGCTATGGTAACGCCTGCCATATATTGGAATGTCATGCCTAGAAAATGTAAACATTTCTAAAAAATCTATCATAAGGTTATACAGTGGAGTCCACTTATAATGAGTCCTGAAACAACGAGAAGTCTGTTATAAAGACACTATTCTAAAACCCTGTTTTTTCTCCTTTATCTTTGTAAATAAAATACTGCTATTGCGCAATCAGACAGTCACGCGAGTCGGGTATATTGCGGAATATTGCTGCTGCTGTGCATAGGCCACAGACCAATTAAACATATATTAAAACCTCGCCAGTTGAGAAAGTTGTTGGTGATCCAGCGAAACAAAGAATGGGTGAGCTCACGCGAACCAACAATGAAGGCCGGTGCGAATTGAGTGGGGAGGGTGTGGCATGTGCAGACAAACAGAACGCATCGCGTGATAGACCAGCCCAGTCTAGATTATTATACATGTCATGTGTGTATCTGGGCATACCGTGCCTCTCACTTCTCTGGTGCGGGATGGAGAGGTCACAATGCTGTGATAGATGAAGTGAATGTGTGACATGCGCAAGAAGACGCAACGCACCACAGGGTGTGGTGGGGTGGGGAACAACACAGCGGGCAAGTTACTCTAGAGCCAGAGCCCCTTCTGTCTGATCGCCAACGCCGAGCTGTCAACAGTGCTAGTGCTAGTCCTAGAGAAATAAACCTGATTCGATTTTTTATTTAGTAAGACCTAGAGATCATGTTGAACAAATCATTATCAGGGGAAATACAAAAAGGAATGAGCGGAACGCCAAACTCATAGATTAGGCCTACTTTACTATTTCCCTTCAATTTATTACTGGATCCCTTGTAACGAGAATCCTGCTATAACGGACATTTCGCACCGGTCCCCTCCCTCTCGTTATAACAGGATTCCACTGTATATGATTTTAAAATAAAAATGTTACAATAAAATTTATAAGTGGTTGTGCAGCCTTCTGTGGCTGTTTTAGAAGATGGACTATATTTGCATAATTTTTTATTTAGAAGGAAAGCCTTTTTCAGAATTGAGGTCCTAAATATGGGAATATTTTGACCACAAAAATCTCAGATCACAACAATGGATTAAATTTATAATAAAATCATTTACAGTGGAACTCGGATTTAACGAGCTCGGATTCAACGAGATGAGATAGATTCCCTGTTTTTTTTCTTCTTTAAAATCAATAAAAATAACCCCGGATTCAACGAGCACTTAAATCAGCGAGCTCGGATTCAATGAGGTCGCTGTCAGGGGGAACTGCCCCCACAGACGTGGCTTTGCTCATTTTTCTCCCACAACAAACTTTATCTATTCCCGGAAACCATCCATTGCAACTGCATTGTGAACGAGTATTCATTTAGCCGATTGCATGTGACCAATCAGCGGCCTTTTTTGTCCATACCAACACATGCGTTGTTGGCTCGTGCATGTGTCTACTCTGGCATGTGTCGGAGTCGGGTGGGCGGCCTGCACACATGTCGCTATGTGTGTGTGTCGGGGAGGGAGGGGGCGCATTAGCGATCCGGGCGTTGAACGCAAAATTTACAAGGAAGTGCAAAAACTATGGAGGCTGAAACAATATTCACAAAATCAGCGCAACACTGAGGTTTAGTGTATACATACAGCAGGATGCTGTGTGATGAAGATGCCAAATCTCATCAGATGCTCAATTTTTATGGCATTTATGACTTTGAAATTGTAAAAGATGACTACACACTTCGCATTAGCAAAAGTATGTTCAATGCCCTTCAGAGCTTCCAAAACACCAACAACGAAGAGCTGAACAGAAAACACATGAAGATTGAAAAACAGAGCAGTTACAAATACCTCACAAAACCTGGATGTAACAGTTACTTGTGTTCATTAGTTTTAATTTCGTTTTTGTTCAGGAGCTGTTGGTTTCTAATCGAGCACGAAACATTTTTTGCACATAGACCCTGTAAGATTTTGAACATCTGTCAGAGAGGAACAGAGGCCTGCAGACTACATTCATGGCGCCGTGAACGTAGCCACTGCGTATAACAAAACCACTAGGGCTGACATGACCTGTTTGGTTTTACCTGAATCAGCACTCTTCGGGAGAAGTGGGCCCGGCCTAACTCCATAGACATTTATACGCAAAATGGGAAACAAATACGGAAGTCGAGTAAAAAAAACTGAACTGAGTGATCTAGACCGATTTTTGACATTATTCTGAATTCTAACGGTTTTTTTAGTGTGCTGAGAACAATTTTGGCACTAAAAACTGCCACTATCCATTATTTTGGGACTCGTTAAATCATTGCATGACTTCAGACGTAGACGCGCTGTCTATTCGGCCATCAGAACTTCCGACAGCGAGAGGTAGAGGAAGCTTGCAGACACTTCCATCTTTGGTGCCTTGCAGTTGGGTACACTTAGATGTAGTCACGTGATCGGAGGGGTATCCTGGTCTGATGTCAAACAAGATGGGCGCCTTACCTAAAAATAGTTTGCATCCTTCTACGTTTAATTGCATCTTCTTTCTGCCCCCTCCTTCCTCTCCTTGGTCCCCTACTCTGGGTTCCTGTCTCTTTCTGCAGCCTTTAGATACCGCTACTCCTTGCAGGCTCCTTAACTTACCTGCTGTCTTTCAGCCACATCCCCTTTCTTGGTAGGAAAGATCTAGGCGCTTTTTCGTTTGTTACCCCAGGCCACTATCTTGGACCGAATGCAATTATGTTGGGCAGAATCAAATAATTATTCGGTCATTATCGATCAAACATCGTTGTATGTTCATCTTAATAACAGTTACTGTTCTCTTTGCTGTTTGCTGTTTTATCTATAGACGTCTGTTTGTCTCATAGGTTTTAGTGGTACCAGAGGATGGAAGGTCTCTTCTTATTTTAAAAAATGAAAATTGAGAGATAATACTGAAGTTTGGCTTTTTAATGTGACAAATTTTTTATTCTTAAGATTTAAGTCTCAAAAGACTCTTATAATAAAATAATATTATAAGGCTGGCGCTATTTCCCGGAACGCTCGGGAAAATAAACTTGGACTGTCTTTCTCCGAATGGTTTTCATTCTCGAGATTTGTTGGTTATTTGCGAGCGCGCGCGTTTGTGTGTGTGTGTGTGAGAGAGAGAGAGTGCATGTGTCTATTATAAGGTGTGAAAGGGGGGGAGGGCGTGGAGGGATTTTTTTTGTTTACATGAAGGATTTTACTTTTTGCTTTAGGGGTGACTAAATGCAAAATAGGTTACTGCTGTAGTCAAGCAGTCTTGTTTTCTCGCAGTACCTTTTGAAGGCATTTACAAATGAAGTATGGTCCGGGAATGTTGCCGGGAAGTATCTGAATATTCTGAAGTAAAAAAATGTCTAGCTCTAGAAATTGAATTTGATGCAAAAAAATGCTTCTTCCCAGTCCTCACAGAATGGCAGAATGAAATCAATGAAAGATGAACCTTAAATCTGGCAAATAACCTAAAAATCTTGATAATGGATTCCATTCGAAGAAATAGTGGTCAAGTTTATTTTCCCGAGCGTTCAGAGAAATAGTCACTTAGATATTATAATACATGGAAAAGAGAACTTTTTGTCTTCTTCTCACTTACTTTTGTTTTGTTCCTACAGATTGGTATTAGATTGCCCAGTTTAAATAAAGAGTGATAGAATGCCTGCTCATGCCAAAGCACCCAGAAAGGAACATCGAAGTGATGTTCTTGATTCAAGGAAGAGGAAATCGGTTACATCAGTTGCTGTGATAGAGCCCAGTAGCGAAGATGTCTCTAAGGCTAAAAAAAACAAGCAGCTGTCAAGTAAAAATGTTTCACAGAATTTGAATTCAACAGCAAAAGCAACTTCGAAACCTGAAGTTAGAAACGGTAACATTCAACTAAAGAAGAGCACGGTCAATGCTAAGAAAAGCTCAGTGGAAGATAAGAAAAAAACAGTTAAAAGGAAACTTGACACAGTGGATAAGACCAAAGAAATTGTTAATGCAAGGTCAAAATCCAGAAAGACAGACTCTGCCTCAGTGAGCTTGGATTCCAAGCCCCCCAAAAATACCACTAAACTACAGGCACAAGATAACTCTCTCAAAAAGAACTCTGCCTCTAAAGAAAAGTCTTCTACGAAGGGTCGTGTACCTAAAGCCAAACCTCTTGAAAAAGATTCACCTGGGATGAAAGAGGAGCAAACTTCTAAAAAGAAAAATGCAAAAAGTGTGGCATCAGTTACTGGAAAGCAACGAAAACCTGTTGGTGGTAACGAGAATGACTCAAAGACTTCAAAAAAGAAAAACTCGAGGGTGAAAACTGCTGATGGAAAGCAGATAAAAGATCAGGGAGAAGGCAAACATTCTGCTCCACCAGCACTTGATTTGAGCGATCCTATGGCAATGTTAATGATGATGGAAGGACGCTCTTCCGGTGGTCAGAAACCTCACGCTCTGTTGCCGTCGGCTTCCGTGGACAAAGGGCCATCCACGTCTACCCCTAAAGTGTCTAAAGATGACGACGTGGCAGCCATGACAGACTCTGAGAGTGATGGAATGTCCGACTGGGAAGATGTGCGAGGTAACTTATGACTTATCGCATTGTAACTAAATGTCTATTTTTATATTTAAATTTCATTTGAGTGGGTTACTTTGCCTTTCTTCAGTGAAATTCTTGACCATTTGTGTTTTTGCATCGAATGAAAAACAAAGAAACCATTATTTAACTATTTGGTTGCATTAATTTATTTTCTGTGGAATGAGAATTTAGGATGTTTGGTAGAGCAAACTTTGACAAAATTCATTATATAATATATATCATACTAAGGCAATTCTTTTCAACTATGAATGGGTCTTGATATGGACACGCTGCATGCATAATGTTGATCCCTAGCTCTTTTTTTCTTGTAGACATGTATAGTGAAAGTGTTAGGATTACAAAAGGATGCAAAGTGTAAGTGTTAAAGTGGAAAAAGGGATAATTGTATGGTGTTCCTTATCTTAAATCGTGAAAGACTGAATATCTTTTAGAATCCATCCTTTGACCCTTGCACATGATATGGGTAGACTGTTCAATATAGTGCAGTTACCTCTTAGTCTTTGTTGCTAAAGGTACATGGATATGAAATGAACGTGATCCTAATCATTTGTGTATTTTAAATTAAAAGCATGGCTTACTAATGTCAAACAGATCACACAATTGCAGAGGAGAAGTCACAGCTGCCAGACAAACCAGTTGAGATTACATTGGAATTGCCAGATATTTTAAAGCAAAAGAAAAGGTTTGTTGTGCTTTTCTTCTTTTTCGTTTGTCAAGCCATCACTTGGGAGGTAAATGTTGTGGACATAATTTTTTTAGGAAATGAAACTGCAAAGTAAGGTTTCAAAAAAATGATAAGCGATAATACTATATGATGTCAACTATCAAAATAGTTTCATGTTTTTAAAAATAAATAAATGATTGGCATTCTACTCTATTCACTCTTGTCTTTACTTATTCGTATATACAAAGGAAAAATGACTACACTATGATATTGTTGCCATTGTGATAAGTACAGCTAACCCCAGCGGAGTAAATTTTACAGAAGAAGTAAAAAACTCGTTTGGTTTCATCATGCAGCAACTTGGCAGCTGGCTTTATTTTTAAAGTTTTAGGAGCATTCCGCGTGCTTTGAGTGTAAGACTGTGCTGTAAGCCATTTTGAAAATTGCCCAGGAGAAAGAAAATACTGATTCATTGATGTATTTTTCAATTCATGAAGTTCAAATTTTTGCAGTGTTAGTGAAGCAACTTCAAAACCAGTGACTGTAGTAACGACACAGAAATTGGTTTTGTGTACAGTGAATTTCGTAAAAGTAGTGTCTGATGGAGTCTTACACTGAGCCATGGATTGTTCGTCAAAATTCAGACCTGACATAAAATACTTACCTGATTCATCTCATTTTTGGAAAAACGATATAGCCAGTCTTATCTTAAGAGCACTGTTATGCTGTTTGCTAGTAGTCTCAATTTTTCTTATTAAATATAGATCTTCAATGTTGATTTTTATAGATTTTATTATGTTTTGAAATAAGTGAATAAGTGTACTGGAAATTACTGATATATTCTAAAGAAATAGGGAAAGGAGAGAGTGAAATAGATGCAGAGTCTTTTTGCGTTGAAAATATTCTTGATTTTTGTATGAGCCCAAGACTGATTTCGAGATCGGTTCAGTTTGTCACTATCAGCAATTTGTCGTATAATTTTTTTTTTCAGGAAGAAAAAACCATTTGACTGGAAAGCTTATTTGCAAAGAAGAGTGAACAGGTTTAAAAAAGAAGTTGCATTGGACATGCACAAGGTACTGTGGTCAATTGATTTGTGTTCACAAGTGATATTTCTTTAACTCCAAGATTAGAATATGAGGCAACATTTGCTTTGTTCTAGGGGTTATATAATTGTATTAGATAGTGTCTTTCATAAATCATATGTACCTATCAACTAGGTATAGGCAATGTGGCAAATACAAATCTCATTTTATGTCGTCTCAGCTCAGCTACCTCTTGTACCCAATGATTTCAGGTGGTGAGAGTTTTGAGCGCTTGTGACACAATTAGTTTTTATAAGCACTGAGGTTTAGAGGTGTTACTAGAGAGTATAAAACACACAAAAAAGATGAAGAAGGGATGACAATGATAGATGGTTGATAGGAAAGAGAAGGGTGGGGCTGAAATGAGGGGGATGTACAATATTCTTCAAGAGTCTCTTTGATGTCATCAAGACACAGTCTCAGTGGCTGTTGTATGTTGGGTTTTTTTGCTTTGGTTTTCTATGAGAAGGCTGCCTTATTAAATCTTTTGCTTGGATTCTTTCTTTTTTTATTTCACGAATCCCAATTCTGTTGCCAATATTTGTAAGTTATGTTAAAATGTGCCGACATGGTACAAGTTGTTATTCCTCAAGAAAAACAAGTAAAATTGAATGTGATGATGATGGTGGTTAAGATGGTGATGCTGTCATGTTAGACAAGATAATCTTGGTGTTAGTTTATTTCTTTATTTGGCGCTTACTCAAGATCCCCCCAGGCTGTCCCGAAGGACAGGCAGGATACAACCCTCATTCCTCACTCCTTGCATAGAGTGTTGCAAGGAGTGACTATGAATTTGGAAAATAAGTCTTGAGTCATTGGTGATATTCTTTTAAGACCCTACAACCTCTTGTCCTTGGGTCAACTGTGGACCACCGAACAACTTGATTTGGCCCTCAGACTACCACTCAAAAATGTTTTTTGGGACAGATCTTAAAACTATCTTAGCAGTCCTGTCCTATAATTTTCATGATGGTTTTTTTTTTAAACTTAATCTGTATTCATTTACAAAAAGTCACAAATCAGTGGCCACCCTATTTATTATAGTTAATCCTTTTGGACTCTCTGTTTGCCAACTTTTTATCTCATCTTTTGAAGTATAATATTCTTACAAGTTCATTGTATTTTTTTTTTAATGGTCTACAAAGAGTTTGGGGGGTGGGGGGTGAAAGATAGGAAGGGCTGTTCAGACAGTGAGCTATTAGTGCAGGTTTAGATCGCATTATATCTACAATTTGGTCTTCCTTTTCTTCTTTTCTTTGAGGTCCAGTAATTCAATCTGTCTTTTCCATGCACCCCAGGTTCACCTGTTGTGTCTTCTATCCGTGGGCCTGCAACAAAATGAAGCTCTGAATGACGAGACGCTGACGGCCGTGGCTTTGTCCTCGCTCCCGTCTCAGTTCACAGAGAACATCAAACTGAACGAGGAACGCCTGGTGGAGAATCTGCTGCTTTGGTACAAGAGGAAGTTCCCTCTGGACCAGGTCCAGCAGTGCTCCGATACGCGCTTGGCAAGTGATATGTTCTTCCATAATGTGTAAAAATATGTGCCATCCCGCAGTTTGTAACAAAAATTGGGAAGAAAAGAAATGGAGAATGATATGGGACGTCCTGTAGTTTGTAAGAAAAGTTGGGAACAATAATAAAAAGTTGTATTCGGGTTAACAATTGCATGTTTTTAAGTGTCCAACTCTAACCTTTAACAGAGTGTCTGCAAAATTCAAATACTCTTTTTGTCTCAAATTACTCAATTAACCAAAATAATTACAGTTGGTGCTGCTATTTTAAATGAATTAAAGAACACTTTTCAAAAAATGTTACCAGCTTCAGTTGGTTGATTCACTACCATTGTCAGGCGTTATTTTTACTTTTAATTTTCTTTTACCAAAACTTTTATTGCAAGGGAAATAAGCAAGTTCCACCCTTGTCATGATTTGTTTGGTTGGTTTTGTACCTTGTCACAACACTTCTGTGTAGTTTTTCATTTGAAACAAAAAAAGTTGGTTAAGCAAAGGTTACTGTGAAGTTTGTTTGTTTGTTGTTTTTTGTTTTTTGTTTTTTTAAGTTGGCTTATAGACTAAATCTTTGTGGTCCGATTGATATAAAACAGATGTACTTTGTTATCTCAAAATTGTTCCCCTGCATTCCTGATTGATACCTGCAGTTCCAGTGACATTGCTTCTACCATCTTTACCTTTTTCCTGTATTAGTTCTGTTTGATTTTTAAACATTTTTCCTGTTTAGGTTCTTTTACAGTCTTAGGGTGAAAGATAACAACAGGTGAGCTCTAGAAGTATGTTATTGCATTCTATAAACTCGCAAAGGTTTATGTACCGGCTTCTATGGTGTAGCAATTGGGAGCTTCGCTGCTCATGCAGTAGACCTGAGTGTAATGCTCGGATGGGGAGAGTTTTTATCGAGTATCTTGGTTTTCTTGCTGGGATGTTGTATCCCTCTCAGCCAGGTTGATCCTGGCTGGGGGGTTGGAAGCCCGCTACTTAAATGATCGAAAATTGTGTCAATATGGGGGGGGGGGGGGGGGGGGGGGGGGGGCGTAACAACACCTGACCTAACTTTTTTTTAAATTAAAAATTAATGTCTAAGATACAATTTTGTACCACCTTATTTTTTGTGTCCTCTTCGTTTAAAATGTTTTTTGGTTTTTTTAGGTGCCATCTTCAACTCTAGTGCAAGCTTTCTCTGAAGGGAAGGTCACTGATGCAAGGATTTGGGTGCTTGTAAGTGTGTGTCAGTTTTCTCAACCTAACCGCCTTTTGTCCAAGACAATCTGTGCAAACGACCTCTTCCCAACTTGCGTTTTTGGGGGGGTTTTAATATTATAATTACAACACAGTTCGTTTTCTGTTTTGATTTTTTATATTTAATTTTTTGCTTTGAAAATATTGTTCAGTCATTTTTGTGTGTTCGGTTTGTAGATATGTTGTTGTTTGTTTTGCTCTCTTTCATGCTGATCTGTGAACAGAGTGCCTAGTGCAGTAAATAATAATAATATAACAATAGATTGCATTTTGAGGAAATGACAAATGCAGTTTATGGGACACTTTAATAGACAGAAAAACATTGTACATCTAGCTCTCACTGACAAGACTGAAGACATCAAAGCAGGGGTAGACCCAGAGCAATTTATTTGGAAAGCCTAAACTGATGGATGACTGAGAAAAATCATGATAATGTCCGTCTTTTGAGAGTATCTGAGCAAAGGAATGAATGGAGAACTATGATAGTCAATGTCTGTCGCAGATCTGGCACTTGATGATAATGGTGAGATTGCATTTATATAGCGCTCTATCCAGTAAAAGTATAAGCTCTGAGTGCTTTACATCATGACATGATAACAGAGTAATCTCACACAACTACACACACAAACAAAGGAAAGAATATAAACCAGAAAATCAGTTCAACCATGTAAGGAAGAACTTTCTCTTCTATACATTGATTATAAACACATATGTACAGCAGTGGAAACAAGACTCATCAGCACTTGCAAATTCAATCCAGCAAAGACTTTTTTAACATATGTGTTTTAAGCAAATTTCCAAATGTATTTAGATTTTAAAAGTAAATTCCCAAAATCTTACTTGAGGGACCAGCTTTTGAAGTTTCAATTTGTCTTGACAGGTTTTCATTGCTCTGCTGAGGACTGTTGGCTTGACTGTGAGAATCGTGCTATCCTTTCAGCCTATCCCATTCAAAGTGACAGAGGTATGTTGCTTCTTATTTTTGCTTGATGATTGTGCAATTGTTATAGGAACAGATCATTACTTATCATTTTCACCCTTGCTTTGACAAGTGGGAAAACAAATTGTTCCAGCATCCTGTTTTTATGAATTTGAAATAAGATGGTTGCTATTAGCCTGAAGTTACGAAATCTACTTCAAGTATATCAAATCAAACCCTGTATAGATGTTTATTTTCAGTCTAGTTATGAATGTAACCATTGTAAGCTTTCTTATTTTGTTAATTTTGACATTTTTTCTTATTGTGACAAAAATATTTTGTTAAGCATTGTGAGGGCTATGAATATGCAGCGTGAAAAGAAATGGAAAAATTGTAAAGCACAGAAAAATTAAGTTTGACAGATGTTGAATGCATGGACGACTGGACACAAATAAAAAGTATGTCTGTGTTGGAACTGATGGAGCAAAGAAGTAAGCTGAAGGTCATGACCTCTCTTTTTCAGTCCACACTTTGTGAGAGAAGTAAATTTGATGTGTAAACGATATTCAATTACTGATTTGAAAAGAAAGTTTCAATGTGTCAAAGTATGTTGCCAGCTGTCAAAAGTAAGAAGCACTGTGCTCAACAAGCCATTACCAATGTTTCATTTTTCTGTTCAGAAAATGACCCGGGGAAAAGAGAGTGTATTGAAAGCATTCTCTTTCCTATAGTGAACATTTTTTTTTCTTGTTTTTTACTTTTCTCATTTTTTTCTTTAAAATGTCCAAGGCTGCATCCACAAAAAATGGCAAAGGAAAACAACCTGTATCTGGCTCAAAGAATGTGAAAAAGAGCTGTGAGTATCCACTTTTTGCTTGTTTTTAAACATTCACTGAAGTTATAGATGAATTTCATTCATCTATTAATTGATACAAGAGTTAAAATTAGTGATAAAATAACCGCCAAAGTTTGGTGTTTTGCAAAGCACGGGTGTCCTTGGAATCTGCAAATTTACTTTTTTCTAACTTTCATTATTTTGAAGAGCGCCTGATTTCACCACGATGACTCACATTTGTATATTAGTTTGCCTTTTTTCACTGACTTTAGCGCTATGTGCTGCAATGAGGACCTATTTCCTGACTTAACTTACTTAGTAACTTGGTTAGAGAATAGGTATCATCGCTTGCTGTACAATGATCAATTGCTGCTCCTCCCTCCTGTCCAGGATCCACGAAAGGGTTGACTTGCTGATCGTGCTGGTTAAAAAAGGAAATAAAAGTTGATTTTTAAAATGTGTTTAAAGAGAAAGAATTGATGTTCTTAAAACATTTCAGTCTTATTTTTAAAAGTGAAAAGAGACGTTCTGATGTGGATGCAAGACGCTTTGAAATTGCGAAACTATATGCAAGTGACGATTGTTTTCTGCCAACTTTTAGAGTATCGGCAGTATCCTCCCCTTCTAATAAGTATTCCTTTTTTTTTTAGAATAACTACAACAGGTTCACAGTTTTTGTTGTAAAATAAAACAATTTTATGAAAGAAGACATAAAATAATTACCACATCATTGCCACCCTTTCTTTAGCAATGCCCACATAGCGCGTTTTGTTCTGACGATTTTTGGCCCCCGCAGCGGGGGTGTTTCGTGGGACGCACTAACGCAAAGGTTGTTGTCTTCAACTCGCTCTCTCGCCGCTTCTCGTGAATGGATATGAATTAAACTTGGCAGCCAATCAGAAAAGAGGTCAATCTCGTAGTATGCAGTTTGACAACATTGTACCCATCCTAGAAGCAGTCGAAAATGTTTGCGAAAGTTGTTGATGTGGTGCACTTTGAAGATTTTTCGGAGCTGTGATTTGTCAAACTGACTGATACGTTGTTTATTCCCTTAAAATTTCAAGCTTCTGTGTTTAGCAGTTTTCGCGTAATTTTTAAAAATGTGGGAGTAACTAAGGGAAAAAGCGGCATTGCCATTTGCGCGGCTGGGAAATTTCCACTGAGTGACGTCATCAGCCATCGGTCGCCTCGGGCGCTACAAACGAGGCCCCGCTTATGTGAACTGGAAAGGGGGGGAAGGATACTTGAAAACTAAACGGGGGCCTTGATAACTTGCGTTTTTGTTGCATTTTAGTCACAATACAATAGATGTAGTCATTTTTATTTGCTTGATTGCATGACAGAAGAATAGAAACAGAAAAGCAAACATCTTGAGAAGTGGTATGGCATTGTGTTTGCGTTATGAAAGCCTATTCCCCCCTCTTGGGAAAGCACACACTTGGACTCGTCCTGTGTGCTCTGTTTGGAAAAGCGAGGCATTAAGATTGCTATTAAAGAGTATGGTACTTATTTAATCCAGTCTGGGAAGATAGTCCCGTTTAGACATTGTTATCGTTCACGCGTGCGTGCGTGAGTGCGCGCGTGCATGTGTGTGCGCGTGTGAGAGAGAGAGAGAGAAGGGGGGGGGGGGGGGGGGGTGTGTGTAAATATGTTACATTTATTGTATGAGTTGTAGCCTACACATGCGAAATATTCCCATGACTTGTAAACTATATTATCTGAATGCATCTTAGTCTATCACACAATAGAACACTGTCCAACAATGGATATACACAGAGACGATCTTATTTTCTATAACAAAGTATGCATGCTTTTACTAGTACAGAACTGGATTTATTAGTAGCTCTCTACCATAGATGCTCTCTACTTACATTTTTGTGACAAATTGATCCAGAGCTTTGCTTGGCAAGGAGGAACCTTTTATGTTGCCAAGTTTCATTCAAATATCATGACTTTGGGAGAACATATGACTGATAATCTTTGTAAATCTGTAAAGAACGCCACTTTTTTACCTGTTAATGTCTTTACAACTCAAAAAGTATGACAGATATTAAAAATCTGACTGCATAACTAGATTCTGCATTAAAAAATGTACTTAACTGCCAAGTTTCATTTACATATTCCAAGAAATAGGCAAGGTATGACAAATATTGTCTCAAAATGCACCGAAAACCGCCACATTTTTACCTATAAACGTCTTCATAACTCAAAAAATAGGATAGCTATGAAAAATCTGAAAGCAGGACTAGATTCTGCACTCGAAAATGTACTGGGTTGCCAAGTTTCTTTTAAATACTCCAAGAAATGAGCGAGTTATGACGAATATTGTCTCAAAACTCACCAAAGAACATCCCATATTTTGGGGGTTTTTCATTATATAAAAGTGTACCAGAAATTAATTGATTAAAAAATCCGTAACTTTTTTGTTTATTGATGGATTTCAAAAATTCAAAAAGTTCCATGCTCTGTGGAGATAAAGCTACAAAATGCACATATTTGCAAACACTTTCTGGTAAAAAAAGGATTTTCGTGGTCATTGCTACTTTCTTTCTTCTAAATTTCATTGTGTCATTTGTCACGTCTTGAAGTTTAACATCCAGTACTAAATACAGTCAAATCTGCTGTCACGGCCACCTGTGTAAGACAATCACCTGTACAAATGGCCACTTCCCTTTTCCTCTCTTGCATATTTTTTACATTGTGAAGACACTGAATGATAGCCACCTATCTACTGTCTAATACAGCCTTTTCTTTCCTTGACAATGGGTTGTTATCTTTGAAAGTTTCGACTGTAGTTGCATGAGAGTATAATTGGTCCAGGCAACCTTCTTGCCTATAGTGATTTATCCACTTTTTGTAAGTTGTATATAGCCACTTTTTTTGGAAGTGCTGTGTGTAAAAGTAACAATGTGTTGTATGTGTCCGTGAAATATGACCATTGCTCTATTTTTTATCACATTCATTTGACTGGCATCTGTGGTGTAGCAGTTTGGCACTTAACTGTCACATGAAGATGACCTGTGTTTGAATCACAAGGGGACATGGGGGGGGGGGGGGGGGGGGGATTTTTATTGAGTGTCCTGGTCTTTCTGCTGGGGTCCTCTATCCCCTTCAGTCCAAGTGGGCCCTGAACTAAATCATGTCGACGAGGGGTATAAAAACATCTGCAATTTTTTTTTAAAACTTATTTGATTTCCCCAGCTGCTAAAGCGAATACCCCTAAGGCTTCGGAAGGTCACCAGTCCTCGCCAGCTCACGACACGAAAATGTCAAAGACTTCAAAAAGCCGCCCAACTGCATCCACCACGAAAAAGCCTGAGTCTGGAAAAATGACGCCAAAACGCAGACCATCGTCTCGAGAGTCGAGCAAAAAGGCTATTGAGCGGAACCGAAAAAGTTTGGCAGATTCTGATTACGAGGAATCAGAAGAAGAGGCGGATAGCGAGCTGTCAGAGGAAGAAATGAAGCACAAGCAGAAAGTGAAGAAGAAAAGAGCGAAGCTGTCTCAAAGTATGGACAAAGACACAGGGGCGGGACCAAGGTGAAGAGCAATGTTAATCTCACTGTTTCCTATGATAGTAGAAAACTAGCTCGTCATGCGAAGCTTCTTTTACTTCTAGTAAGAGTTTTACAACACTTGCAACACAATTAGGTCATATAAATGCTGAAGATTGTAGGTGTTACTAGAATAGTAACATACGAATAAAAGAACAAGGAAAGATTTGGGGCGATAGATGTGTTAGTTTTGGTAAGAGTTTTACAGTGCTCGCAACTGCATAAGGTCATATGAGCGCGCTGATAGATGTTTGATAGGAAGGAAGGAGCAAAATGACTCTAGAACACCCAGCAACCTCCTACTTATGAGGCTTTTCAAATAGAACTGTGTAAACCAAGAGAAAAGCCCACAAGCTGCACATATCCTCAAATGGAAATGCAGCTTTTGAATGCTCAAAATGGGGCAAACTTTCCTCTCTCACAGAATTGGTCTCAGTGACCATAGCAGAAGTCCCATCTGAACCTTAAATACTCCTATTTTGCTTGAGAAACATTTTTCTCTGCAGATGTGTTGGTCATTGTCAAACATAGACTGACAAACTATTATTATTTTCATTAAATCATTTTCCCTTTCAATGAACGACGGTATTCAGTTTTTCATTTGAATCTCTCCCTTGCGATATCTTCAATTACTTGTCAGTAGTACTTTCTTTTACTGCAGTTTAAAGTCACATTTCAGCAATTTGCAATTTGCACCACACACTAGTATGTTTCTAGTTGATTTACAGATAACTCATAATTATGTAAGCATAGAAAATAGTGTTGAAAGGCTTGTTTCAAACCCTACTTAAGCTATACCTGTCTTATTGTCATCACCGTGTCACACCAGGCTGTGAAGTGGTAGATATTTTCCTGGATTTTCAATTGCAGTTCTGATACTGAATTTGAAGACAACAGTCGGTACTTTCGGACTCCAGACAGCCTGAGGAAAGATTTGAAGATTGGTTCCAACAGGAAAGTGTTGTCCGAAACGTCAGCTGACGAGGACTCATCAGCTTCACGTCATCCAATGACTGTTGGTAAGTTCCTGATTTATTCTCCTGTACGTTTCATAGAGTTATTTTCTCCAGAATCTGTACAACATGAAAAATTCATTTTTTATACTTTGAAAGTTTCTGAAAATGTATCATTACATATTCGTTAATGTTTGACAGACTTAATGGTATTTTTACTTTGTGTCTGTTGTCCCACAGGCCTCACCATAAGTGAAACTAATGTGAGTACAGGCCTCTCTATCAGTGTAACTAGCGTTGATGAGCTGATGTATCAAGTAAAGCTTGGCACTCACAGAATATATTTTAAATCAAGCATGACAACAAAAACTGAGGAGGCCGGATGGCTTGGAAGAAGCAGAGGTTAAGTTTTCGTAAAATATCAGTAATATCAGTGTACACAACATCTGCCAAGTTCATCAATGTGAAATCATAGCCAGAGAATATGTCCATTTGCTTTTGCATCAAAGATTTGGAAAGGCACATACTTAATGTAATACTGAAGCATTTGTCTAAATTATTATTGTAACATATTTTTTATATTATCCTTTGAGTGTGTGGTTTGCTCTCCTAGCATAACCATTTCTGGTGAATGATCAATTTGAAAACATTCAAGGAAGAATCTTGCTTCATGAATGACTGTTTGCATATTTGTCATTGTAAAGCAGTGCTTCCCAAATGTGGTCAGATTTTGATCTTCTAGCTTTTTGTGCTTTTCATTTTGTTGAGGTCTCTCCATTGCCAGTAAAATATGTGTCATAGAGCATATTTATGTATGCTTGCTCACTTTGAGGTGTTTTCTTTTTATTCATTGGCAGGGCACGACTTTTGGCTGGAAGTGTTCTTCCCTGCAAAAAAGAAGTGGGTCTGTAAGTATTTTGGGTTTTGGGTTTTTTATTTTATGTACATGTATAAATTGCAAATACTGATTATGTAGCAGAGGGATTGTCATAATATGTGTGTGCGCCTAGAGAAAGGTACCAAAAGTCGCCTGAGACCATTTCGAGCTACAGGCTGATAATGACAAAAATCACTTTTGACCAAAATGTGTTTCCTTAAAAAAAATGATAGATCCACCATTTTTTTTACAATTTGCTCAAAGGGTTTTCATTGATTTGACTTGTACATATTTTATTTTGAGGGAAGGGTATAATAAAAACAGACAATGGAAACTGCTTTTAAAAGGTGTTAAAATCTATTCTTGAAGCCCATTTTCTCTTCCCTGCAATGTTTTACCATTGAATTCCATTCATGATATTGATGTCAACTGAATGCCAAATTGGACATGAATTTAGTATGAGTAAATACATTTAAAAAATCTTTTTTTTTTAAGTTTGTATATTTTCTCACGTTGGTTAAACTTAAAAGCTCATTTTTTCAAAATTCTATCTTTATAACCTACCTCGCAAAATGTGCAAAATCTCAAAAACTACCTGAGATATCTAAAAATTCAAAGACCCCTGTGTTCTGCATTGAATTTCCTATAAGGTACAACCCTTAATTCTAAATGGTCATAATCCGACTTTTGGCACCTTTCTTTAGGCCAGCACACATATGATCACGAGTTGAAGCTCAAAGACAAATGAAGTTTCTTTTAGTGCATAACAGATCCTTCAGGGTTAATCATATGTCATTTTTGTTTTCGTTTTTTAGGTTTTGACAGCTTCAAGTCCCAATTTGGGAAACCGTACTCACTGGAAAATTGTGCAACCCAGCCATTGTCATATGTCTTAGGATTTCGAAATGGTAAGTAACAACAGAAAAGTCTTGGTATGTTTTTTTTTAGCTTGCGGTACATTTAGTTTATTTGTTTTGTCCTACGTTATGTGTATGGGCATCTCACAAGATCCACAGGACTTACCAAAACAATCTTACAAGGAACCGTACAAGGAAAGAGAAAGAGAGGAAGGCAGAGAAGGAGATGGGAGAATAACAACACAGAGTGGACAGGGAAGACGATGGGTGACAATCTGAGGAAAGCAGAGGACAAAGAGGAATGGCGAGAGCTGGTTTTCAGATGCAGTGGTGCCCCCATGGTTGCCCCAACCACTTGATAGAAGAAGAAGAAGAATGTTATGTGTAGGATGTTCCCTTTGTCTTTTTTTATCATATATGCAACACACTTGATGAAATATTTGTGTGGAGAAATGACAAAATAAGCATCCTCAGGGCTTTTCACATGAACATGTTTTTTTATAATTTTAGACATAAATGTGTTCTCATGAATGTGATGTCAAACTTGCTTCGGCGACCCCTTATTGTCGAGGAGAAAAGTGATAATCTTAGAAAGGTGATTTTCATGGACAGTATTATTATATTTTTAAAATCTTGGACAGTATCATTAAAGTACAGTAAAATAAAACGAGGTGGGAAGTGGTTGTTTGCACAGGTGGTTGTCTTGGACAGGTGGCCTTTAGAGAGGGTTCCACTGTACTTTATTGTTTCTCAATGAAAAGGTGTTGTTATTGATCCAGTAACAGCTGCACTCTCACCCTTCTGTCCAGTGCTATATAGTGATGAGGGCAGGCTTGCTGCAGTTCTGCCGTCACTTGAAGAAATACAGTATATGCAGTTTTAACAGCTCTATCGGAGAATCAGAAATTACCAAGAAAACTAACTCTTTGCAAACATCCCATATCAATACATTCATGAATATATATTTGATAATCGCTTCTTTAAACGCATTATGTTGTTTTATGGGTAACAATATTGCTTTTTGGCTTTCCTATAAAACGATAAAAACGGCACATACTGTATATTTTTAATATGATGGCAGAGTTGCTGGGATGTCCCAAAGCTGACTCATAAGATGTTGTTGTGACTGTCTTTAGATGGCAGTGTGAAGGATGTGACGGCTCGCTACGCCAAACAGTGGCTGTCACACACGCGGAAGATGCGGGCAGACCAGGAATGGTGGACGGAGACCTTGCTCTTCTTCGACCAGGCCAACTTCAAGGAGAACATGCTGGAAGATGATGAGATCAAAGGTGATGCTTGTTTAGCCTGCTCTTCTCTCATTCTTTCTGTGAATGTGCCAATTTTCCAGATAAGTCAGAAAAGCTGGACTTCTGGAATTTTCCGGTTGTTGTAATATACTCCTGCTTTTATACTTTATATATATTTTAATCTCTATTTATGCATGTCATATTGCACTATTGTGCTTTGTATAAAAATAATTTTGATACCAGATACATTTGACAATATTAACCATAGATTTCAAATCCCCTGAAATGTTTCTTCGAGGTCTAGAAAGTTTCAGATTTTTTACGTAGCCAGAAGGCACCTCTGTTTCTGTGCTATAACGCTTATATTGTAACACAGTGTCTAACAGTTATGATGAATGCACTTTACTCTTTTGTGTTATGTGGCTACATGTGTCGTGTTGATACATGTCCTCTTTCTGGATGCTTGACCTTTTTGTGTTACAAGTGCTGTAAAAGTAAAACTCTTACTAAACCGAAACCAAAACAAACTGTTCTCGTACATTTTTGTCAACATTTTTTGTTCTCTTTCAGGTCAGCTGCTTGTCCGTCCAATGCCTACGAGTATTGCCGAGTTCAAAAACCACCCATTGTAAGGACCTTGAAGTTCTTGTTTTAATTTTTATAGATGAAGTGATTTGTCAGTTAAAAATTAAAAGAATAAAGACTGCTGTTGATAATATTGAAAACATTAATATTTTAAAAAGTGAATAGAATGAGATGAACTACATAACATACTTTTATTTTGGGTGATGATAATGATGTTGTGTCATCAATATTTTTTAATGTGTTACAGCTGTTAGTATGACTGTTGGGAAGAGCCATAAAATATTTAAAACTGGAGCTAAGTTTTCTTTGTTGGTATTTTTTTTCTGTAAATGGAAGTTCCCTGTTGTTGTTTTTTTACCTTGTCGCCTGTTGTTTTATTTCTTGCACATATTTGTGTCCTATGATACAAGTGTGGGAGTGTTTTGTTAGTTTTATGATTATATCACATTAACCAGTCTGTTTACTTGTTGTTGGATAAGTGTTTTCTATCAGCCTAGGGCAGGCATGGGTGAGGATGTTCAAGTTGTCGGTCTGATTAAGCGATTCCACATACCTCCCTGGCGAAAGCTGACGAAAACTGATTGAAATCAGTTAAAATATCCAAGCTCTGGGAAGTGGGACCAAATCTGACACATTCTGAATTTAAATTTCAACAAAATAAGTTTAGAGCTCATGGAACTGATAAAGCAGATTAAGAAACTGCAATAAAACGTTTTTCCAGATTTTTGGTTTTAGTGCACCCGAAAAGCAGGGTAATGAAGCGTGTTTGGGGTTTTTTTAAACTTTGAAATGTAACTGATCAGTCATGAAATTATATATTTTTTATGACCCAGATTATTTATCTTTTCAATAATATTATTGTTAAGCGCAATTAGCACTTTCTTAGTGGAAAAACGCTATGTCATTGAAATTTCTTCTTTTTCTTTTTCTTGTTTTTCTTCTTCTTCTTCTTCTTCTTCTTCTTCTTCTTCTTCTTCTTTATTATTATTATTATCATCATTAAATGTGTATTTAAAATTTCTGGTACCTCCCCTCAGGTATGCACTGCGGCGCCATCTCCTCAAGTTCGAAGCCATCTACCCAGACACAGCAATCCCGTGTGGTTACATCAAGAAAGAGCCGGTGTATGCCAGAGAGTGTGTCAGAATTGTAAGCCCTCTCGCTTCACTTACACTTTTCTCCTCCGGTTTTTTTTTCTTTTTAATTGAAAAATGTATGGGGGGGGGGTTAATGTAGTTTTTAAGCCCACATCAACACAATTCCCCTCAGTGGCATGTATTGAGTTTGGTAACAACAACAACAACAAAATGACCCAAGATATTTGTCTTTAAAAAAAAATTTGATAATCTAACTCGCATTTTGTCATCTTTTTAAAGTTAAAACGGGCTTGTGTTTTATTAAAAACTACTGCTCCACTCTCTTCCATATTTCATTCATAGAATCCTTTATTGAGTCCATTGTTTTAGCAATTCAAAATAGTTTTGGACCATTGTCAACTTCAGGACCTTGAATCTAAAGAGCAAAAGAACATTTCTGAATATATCTGTTTTGTAATTGTCGGTGACAGGTTGTCAAAACAAGAGTGTGTTCCAAAGTACAAGACCATTTGAATAGCTTTCAAAAATAAAATCGTGAGTTCAAGGCCCATGGTCAACGTGATAATTCTTTTTCTAAAAGGTTTCAGAAGTAGGGACCAAAGCAATAAGTGTCGGACAAAAATGTACATTCTGGTATCGGTTGCAATAGATATATTTCAGCACATTCCTAAATGATTGTTGTTCTGATGGGAAATGGAACCATAACTGTAATGTGTTCATTCAAGGCCATGACTGATCAATGACAAATGGTGTCTTGGTGATTTTTGTGTTACAGAAAAATCAGGGCATAGATTGATCACTGTGGAAAGGTTGCGGGTTTGAACCCCATCAAGCAAGGGCCCGACATTGTGTCTTTGGGAAAGACACTTTTCACACATTTTTTTTTTACTTGACCCAGGTGGGAATGGGTACCCACCTATAAACAGCAAAAGATTTTGTCAGTTTGTTAGTATTTGTGCGCTTCATTTGCTTCTAGCTTTTTATGCTCCCTGGAAGTTGAGAATGTTTCTGAATGATTTAGGGTCTGCAGGGGTAATAATAGAGATTTTAAACTGCTTAAAGCTTGCTGCTGAGTGGGGACATGCTCTGTACAAAGTCTATTTATTGTTATTATTCCGTCTTTGAGACATGCCTACTTTCTAACTATGTGTTCACCCTGTGTTATCGATCATGTAAATGATACCTTCTAAAAAGAAGATAAAACTAAAGACTAAAATATTTTTGTAGGTAGGTAGTTGCTTCTGGTGAAGAAATTACTGCACAAATATAACTTATGGTGGTCATTTATTTTGACATCCGCATCTTTACAACTGGCTCAGATTTATTTTTGCATTATAGCCAAACGTTAAAATGAAGTGCAGTATGAAGAGATTGCACTGTTGATTTTTTTGTTATTTTGTGATTTAATTCATTGTAACATATTATGTTTTCTATTTCAGTTACATTCCAGAGACAACTGGCTGAAGGAAGGCAGATTAGTTAGGGTAAAGATATTTTACTTTTTTGCCTTGAATTATCTCCACTGCCTTAAGTGTCTCCTACTTTACTGAAAAGCGGTTTCAGGTGGTGACTTTTTTGTCTTTGCCAAAATTAAAGACTACCTCCCATACCCCATGCGTGTGTTTACACATCCTTTTCTGTAATGTCTTCTAATACGTTTTAGATCTTTTTAGTGTTTTAGTGTCTGTAAAATGGCAGCTTGCACTGTATGCTTCCCAGGAAATGAGATTGTTTCAGAGTGCTATCGGGTCTAACAGGGGTAATAATATAGATAATAAAGGGCATAGAACTTTCTGTTGAACAGGAATTTATGAATTTCGAATGCTGTCTATTATTTATTTTCTCCATAGGCATGGACAAGGTTTGGCTTCGTACTCTTGGAGAAGACTTTCGAAGATTAGATGCCTGTCTTGTTCCTAATGCATAAAGACTATTTTTTAGCCCATTGTTTATGTTATGCTGTGTTTGAAGAACGTTGCATAAAGTACAGGAAAAGTATAGGGCAGATGTTTCTTGGTTACACCCTCTCAAGGATAGATTTGTTGTACTTGAACTTGTGTAAAGCACCTAGAACTGTGTGCACCCACAAGTAGGATATAGAAATAATCGACATTGATATAATTCATCTTCTTCTTCTTATTATTATTATTATTATTATTATTATTATTATTATTCAAAGTATGATGTGATATTTTTCTTTTCTGTTCAGGTGAATGAAAAAGCATACAAGATGGTGAAGTCAAGACCTAAATGGGTATGAAGCTATTGTATTGTTGTGTATTTGTTGTTTCAGATGAAATGAATTTTTAAAACTTTATTTTCTCAATTTGTATATAGACTTGTGGTGTAGTAAGTACCTAAATGATAATGAAGTAATTATTGTCTATTTGTTGTTCTAGCTGAAATGTTTTCAAAAATTGTATTTTCTCAACAAATATCGTCTCGTGCTGTTCATACCGTATAGAAAGAGGAAGGATTTATCTTTTTCGGTTGATTGTACTGTTGTGTATTATTATGTATTTGTATTGCCTTACTGTCTACATGCATTATACTAATAGTTAATGAATATTTTAGTGTGGTCAGTTTCTCCTTATATTTTTCCATGTCATAATTCCGTTTTGCTTGTCATTTCATCGCTTTGGGTTAACTTGCGACCCCCACCCACTCCCAGGGCAGTGCTACTGACTGAAGTGTCTTTACGCCGTTTCCAAAGGGGGGATATTAACATGTTCTTATGCTCAGTAGAATTGTGAATGGGTTGATTTATCAATGTCATGCTCATACCGTGCCGGAACAACATAGGGGGAACTGCTGCTTTTTCTTTCCCCATCCTTACTACCGGCATTTTTCCTCTTCTTCTTCTTCTGTATGTTTGTCATTCTCTTGTGAACTGCTATTTCCAGGGTGCCTTGATAGTCAAAGCAGACTTTGTGCTGTTGAGGCTAAAGAGGTGAGCAGAGTAAGCCTGATTCCCCGTTTGGACTTCTCTATTGACATCCACCCCTTGGCGCTCATATGACCTTATGCAGTTGCGAGCGCCGTAAAACCCTACTAAGACAAACTTAAATTTCGTCTTTGGTGTAGCTGTTAGGCGCTTTGCTGTCACATGTAGAAAAAGTATTAAAGGATTTTTTTCATAAATATTTTTATTTTATTTTTCTCAAACATGTCATTGTCTGTGATAAGTGGGTGCTCTGATGTGGTTTGCTTCTTCTTTCTTATCGAACATCTAACATCCTCATCTCTCCTCCTCCTTTTTTGTTTGTTATTGTCTTGTGACACCTCTAATCTTCAGCATTTATATGACCTAATTATGTTGTAAGTGCCATAAAATGTTACTAAACAGCATGTCGTTGTCTGTCTCACACCTTGCAGAACAAACCAAAGGAGAATCCGGACGAGCTGGACCTTGAGCTGTATGGAGAGTGGCAGACTGATGTATACATCCCTCCACCGGCTTACAATGTATGCAACCCCTACTCTCTTTTTTTGTTGTTGTTGTTATTGTTAAGTGTTTTACGGTGCTAGCAAGTGCATATGGTCATATTAGTGTGTGGGACACTATAAACATTTTCAGTTTAGTAGGAATTGAAAAATTTTACTCGGGTGGCGGCTGAAGCCTTTTCTAATCAATTTTAGGACCACCAAGGATCTTTAAATGTGTGCAATTTGCACATGGGACCTCCAAGATTTTTCACCCTCTACTCTGTCCCTCTGTGACTTATATTTTGGCTCCTAAAAAAGATGGTAATAACAATTATATTTTTGTAGAAAAAGGGAAGTTTTTTAATCATACTCATTGATGCCTTCTTAGAAAGTGTCAGCTTTTGGCTTAGAATTGCCTTCAAACTCACAAACTAGAAAATAGAATGTTGGCGTGTGGACCTAAGAGATGTTGTTTGTTTGTAATATTCTAGACTATTACTTTTTTTAGCTCCTTCTGTGGAGTATTATTAAGTCTCAAATTGTATTGCTTGGTTTAGTTAAGCTTTCATCCATTTACTAATATGAATATGTAGTGACTGTAATAAGCGAAATTTACTTTTCTGAAACAGGAAAGTCGAAGTCTTTGTGAATGGACAAGTACTCTTCGATGTCTCTTTCTCTTTCACAATGTGGAATGATAATTTTGTTTCTTATTTTAGAAAATAATGCTGATGCTGTGGATTTTTTTTTTTTTACCACTATTCTTTGAACTTTTTTTAAAACTGTTGTATTCTGTGTTAACAATACTTTTAGTACTCAGTGACAGGTAATCAACATAATCTCTCCCTTCATAGCCATGCCGTCTTATGCATGCTCAGTAGCTTTACAAGTCCAGTATATCTCCTCAGGGCAAAGTCCCCAAGAATGAATATGGAAATGTGGAGCTGTTTAAACCTTGGATGTTGCCTAAAGGCACAGTGCAAATCAGAGGTGAGTTTTGTAAGGATTTGTCTTCAGTAAGCGGCTGGTTTCTTGTTTAGATCGACTTTTTGATAGCATGTTTATGTAGTGCTCCACACAGCTTATTAGTGCTTTACAAATACAGTGGCAACATATAAACAGTATAGTGTGCTTTTTTTTATACTTTTCCAGACTTGCACGTAAAATTGCCTGTGTGCTTAGCCACCAGTACAGTAGTAAGCGAGACCCCATCCCCAACCCGGCCCACCTGAGATAAAATGCATATGGGAAACAGTGTTTACTACACAAGACATTATTGGTTATTTTGAGGATCTTTCTAAATTAGATGCTGGTCATGACAAGGACTACCCTAAATGGGATATGGAATGTTATTCTGACAATCGTATAAATATTGGATATATATCGCTCAGGAGCTCTGGCAGAGGGGTACGGTAGCCTTTGGAGTCAGGGCTCAAAGGGTTAAAAGAACAAAAGAAATTGTGCTGTATCATGGTGAAATCAGGCATTGTGATGCCCACCTCCTAAATGATCTAAGTTGAGTCGATGTGGGCGTAAAATCACCCTATATTTGTTCACCAGGTAACGGCCTCCAACGAGTGGCGAAGAAGCTGAGCATTGACGTGGCTCCGGCCATGGTGGGATGGGACCACCACTGCGGCTACGCACACCCGATGTGAGTTTGTTGAGTCTTTGTCCCTGAAGGCTGGTGGGTGTTCTGATGTGGTTTTCTTCTTTACTGTCAGTACTGTCAAACATCTATCATGTTTATCTCTCCTCCTTCCTTTCTTTTACATTACTGTATAGTAACACCTCTAATCTTCTGTCCCGTAGAATGGGTGGTTGAGGGGTGCTCTGATCAGGTTTGCTCCTTTCCTATCAAACATTTATCGTCCTGATTTCTCCTCTTTCTTTTCTTTGTATGTTACTCTCGAGCAACACCTAATCTTCGGCCCTTACATAACCAATTTCTGTTTAAAGTGCTGTAAACTCTTACTAAATACAAACTTTAAAAGAAAGTTTATTTACATACGAAGGTTTTGTGCTCCTTCATTTGATTGGCAAGAAAAGATGAGTTTAGGTTTTTAAACCAGTGCAAAGTCAACAAGCTGCGATTTTGTTTGCCCCTGCTTTCCTTTCTAACATCTGTCGTCCTTTTCTATGGTCCTTCTTTTTATTGTATTTTACCCTCTAAGCACCTCTAATCTTTGACACTTTTATGACCTATTTGTGCTGCAAGTGCTGTAAAACCCAAATACAAACAAAAACTTCTTACACGATTCAATTTTTAAGGTTTCCTTCTACTGTTTCATAGTTTGTACCTACTTGTATGGGATGCAGTGCTCTATAAATGTAATCATTGTTATGAATATTTTATTATTATTTGTATTGTTATCATTATGATGATTATTATTGTCTTCAGCATGGATGGTTGGATAGTGTGTGAGGAATTTGCAGACACTCTTCTGGCTGCCTGGGAGGAAGATCAGGAGATACAAAAACAACGAGAACTAGAGGTCAGTCAAGTCTTTATAAAGATAAAAGATAAAAACATAGAGCTATAATTTTAATACTCATTTTCGTGGTTGGTTTGCGTGTGCGCTGGTGTAGTTAGCTCATTCTTTCCTATCAAGCGTCTGTCGTCCTTATTTCTCCTTTTTTATGTTTACTTTTCTCTTGTAACACCTCTAATTTTTGGCTCTTATATAACCTCATTGGGTTGCAAGTGCCGTAAAATTCTTACCAAAGCAGTATTTTTTTTTCATATTTTGCTTTCCATAGGGTTTCTCCTTTGTTTTTACTCCTAGCATACGGATAGCCACTTCAGCAGGCATCCGGCAAGGCTCAGTTGTTAACAGTCATAACAAAAATCTGCGCATGTTCAGCAAATCTTGGACAGCGTCATTATAATATCTAAAGAATTCATGTCGTGGAGTGAAAAGTGGTCATTTGTACGCATTGTCTTGGACAGTTGTTCGAGAGCAAGTTTGACTGTTTTGTGATAGTTATATTTTCTTATTTGTTTGCGTGTTCCTGGACATCAAGATCAAGATCTTGAGCAGTACAGAGGTTCTGGACTCAAAGCATCCAATTGATTTCTTCAAGTCCTGTCTTTTCTCCTTGCTCTAAGAAAAAAATTTGTTCCCATTATTTTCATCTTATTATGGGTTTTTTTACCTGTTTCCTCCCTAGAAACTTGAGAAAAGAGTGTATGGCAACTGGAAGCTCTTGATCCGAGGTCTGCTGATAAAAGAAAGACTTAAGAACAAGTTTCTTCAGGTGAGTATTTATTATTCTCTGTTTTGATGACTAGAGATTAGGGCATAGGCCATAAACAAACACTTCCCACTTTTCCCTATCCTGGGTTAACCTCTTGATATTATTCCATTTCCTCTTACTTTTCCGTACATCAGTTTCTGTAACTCTTCTCCAGGCTCCATGTGGTCTTCCTCTTGATCTTTTAGTTGCCTAACATCCTGAGAGTATATCCAATCCATCACCACCGCCTTTTACCCTCCCTATCTCTAACTTTTCATATCAACTGCTAAGTGCAAGACTCCGCTATGTGCCATTAAGAAGTTTTCCATGGACAGGTGGCTGTGAGAGCCAGTTCAACTTCATTATTCATGGAATATTAGGCTGATTTCTCATAGAAGCAACATGTGAAAGTTTGTAGCACTAAAGGTAAAAAGAATTACTGTTGTATATTTGTAGTTAGATTTATCTCCCGCAGACTCTTATTTGGTTTTCTTTGGGCATGTGTTTTAATTACAGGAACCTGACTCCAAGACTTCAGAACTGACTAAAGAAGACAAAGGAACGGGTAAAGACATCAAAGCCGAGGATTATCAGCAGTCCTGGCCTGTCAACAGGCAGCAAGAAGACAGCAAGGCCAAAGTGATCAAAAAGAAGAAGAAAGTTGAGAGGGATAGGAAAATTGTGGAGAAACAAGAAGTGAAGGATGATCTGGATGAAGAAATTAAACTGGAAGCAGAGGAGGCTAAAGTGGAAAATGTGTTGGAGAAGAAAGCAGTGGTGATTGCCACAAAAAAGAAGCACGAAGCGGGACACATTTTTTCGGGAGTTCGAGAGGTGGTTGAGAACTTGAACATAAGTGAAGACAGTGAGGATGAGGAGGAGGAGGATAACACAAAAGTTTCCCAGGATGATTCTAAGAAAGGTGCTGCTGACTGTAAATCAGAAGATTTGCCCTCTCTTTCTTTGAAAGATAAGACAAAAAGCAATGAGAAACAGAAAAATAGAAAAACAGCTGTTGCTAATAAAAGAGGAAGAAAAAAAAGAAAGGAAAGTGATTCTGATTTCTCTTCTAGTGATGAGAGAGAATACCATAAAGAGGTTGAAAATAACCGAGAAAAAAGGGGGAAACGACTTGTGAGAAGTGCTCGGAAAAAAGTCAACTACTACGAAAATGAGGAAGAGGGAAATGATGAACAGTCTGAAGAAGAAGAAGAAACAAATAAAGATAAAGACAACGATAGTACAGCGGCGAAGGGTGTTGAAAGCGATGATTTTGAAACTGACAGTAGCGAAGTAAAGAGTATGACAGAGTTGAAAAAGAAATCGGATGAGGGGAAGGAGAAACTACAGTCAGGGAAAGAAAAGAAACCTTCAAGAAGAAGCAGAAGGAACAGATGAGCTTCAACATGCTGAAAACATTCTGTTTACTGTCCATGGGGAATCACATTTTGTTGTCAACTGTTACCAAGTTGATTTTTTCCTTTTGGTGCCCCACTCATTGCCACAACAAGCATCCATCACCCCCATTCTCTACTCTCTGCTTTGATGTATTGTTTCATGACGTTGCAGACCCCTGCTGGGTTTTTTACATTTTCTGTGTATGATGTCGGAGGTCTTCCTTTATTTCTTGCTCCTTCTATTTTGCCCTATAGCTGTCATTATCTGGTCTGGTTTTTTTATGTTTCTGTTAGCGTGACCAAAGTACTTGAATCTCTTTCAGCACCTGTATGACCTATTTGTGTTGCAAGTGCCGTGAAATACTTACTTAAACTTAATAAAAATTTGTAAAAAGTTGTTACTGCTGATGGAAAGCAAATTTCCCTAACCGCCATGCATGAAACCATCCTTCCAAAAGAGTACCGAAGTGTGTCGTTAGTGTCATACAAGTTCTTGTTCCAGCCAGAGCAAGGTATAGTTCTTCACATTCCTCAGGATTCATCTTAAAGTGGACTATGTTTTGTTAACATTAGTACAATTAGGTTACACCTTTGTTGCAAATTTTGATGGGAGCCAATTAAATGGGCAAGGAGGAGGCAAGCCTGAAGGAGAATGTTCTTTAATTTAACCCTCTCCGTACGTCATGTTTTACTATCGTATCTATATGACGAGGGGTACTCTGTGCCACCATTTTCAAAGAGGAAGTTTACTTGTTAATCTGATCCGTACGCTTTGCATAGCTGTCTGTCAAAATGATTTTTTGAGAAATACTGAAAGTTTCAAAGAGATCTTTGCACTAGAAGTATTCTAAAATGTGAGGAATACAACCCGGGGTGGAGGGGGGGGGGGAGGATACAAAATGACCCCAGGGTGTACGGATAGGGTTAATCTGTGACTACTGTGAGTTTTGTCTGTTTCAGTTGAAGTTCTAATAGCAGGTTTGTGCATGGAACCGCAGAATTTCTAATATTTGTATAGTTATAGATATGTGGTCGCTTTTAAGGACAAGTGGGCTTACCCAGATTTCGGGGGGGTTACAGAAATCTTGACCAACACCTAAAATGGGCATTGCCCTAGCTATAGGAGAAGTTTGTTTCATTGGTGTGTATATATGTTTGGTTATAGAGAAAACCTTCCTTGTTTTTTTAAGACAGATTTCATGGGTCCAAATACTTTACCGTCGCTTTTCTCAAAATAGCATTTTTAGGGAAAGTCCGCTTGTCGTTAAAAACGACCCTATATATGTGTGCGTTCTTCTGACATGCCAATTTTTTCTGTATATAACATATTACACCAGTACCATACAGCCTTCCTGGTGATTCAGCCAGTATTCTTATATATATAAATGAGTTTTTTACTTTGCTGCTCGAGAGTATGTTTGATAAAGATCTGATGCTTTTCTTTGCGATTGTATTTTTGTTTCAAAGTCGTTGCTTGGACATTGTTATCACCTTATCTGATGAAGCGTAGATCGTCAATACCCTAGATTTATATCTGTTTAATCACATTAGAGTGACACTTCTCATCACAAGCTATTTAAGGCAGCAAAATGTTTCTTAGATTTCATTATGCTTGTGCCATTTGTCATATATAGAAATCCTCAAACTTACCAACGTCTAGTCTGTGGTGTAGCAGTTAGACATTTCAGAAACTCGACTTTTGAATGGTCGGGAGGGGAGGATTTTTATTGAGTATCTTGTCTTTTTGCTGAGACTTTAAATCCCTCTCAGCCCGGGTTGGCCATGACTGGGAGAGTGGAAATGAACATCCATAATTATTTATATTGTATGTGTGAAGATGTAGAAACACATACATTACTACACTTTTTTTTTTTTATTTGCGTAAACCAACTCATTTTCGGAGATTATAGTCTGTAAATGTATATAAAGGTCAATGACCTTCTTGCATTGAAAGAATGTGTTTGGTAAGATTGGTCCTTGCAGTAGGAGACTATTGCGCTACTTACCACTGAATTCCTCATCACTCTGTCATATTGTGGTTAATGTTCATGAAGTTGCATGATATATTTTTTATGTTGACTGTAAAGATTTGTGGATTTCGTGTCTGTCTCCACCGAGTTGTGTTCAAGCAATCTGTTTGAGGTTGTGACAATCTTCAGATTCCTTTAGTTTATGCATTATTAAAACACTGAGATGTTACTAGTATGTTGAATTACATTTTATTTCCATTCCTTAGTTATAATGTAAGGAGTCATGTAAATTTTTATGTATGTATTCATGCTTATATGCATAAACCCCCATTGTTATTGGTAAAAGACTGTGACATATTATGCATTCAGATTTTTAAATTCAAAGAAAATGTAAATCATAGTTGTGTTAAAGAAAGTTAGTAAAGTGCTCTTCTTTCAGTGTGAAAAATATGCTTTGTAACTTTGTACCAGCTTATAATATACTGTATTAGCTTGAGTTGTACTCTGATGATCTACCTCCGAATTATTTACTTTCTGTATTTTATGTGGGTCTGGGACACTTGAATAGACATAAAAGCCTTGAACATCAAGCTCTCACTGGCAAATTAGGCAGGGTAGACCCAGAGCAGCATACTTGGAGAGCCTAAACTGATTGGAAATGGGGAAAGATCAGGATAATGTAGCTTTTTTAGAGCATTCGAGCAAAGGAATGAATGAAGAACCATGATCGCCGATGTCTGTTTCAGATCTGGCTCTTCATCATGAGGAAGGGCAGTGCTACTGACTGAGGTTGTCTTTATGCCATTACCAAAGGGAGGATATTAACATGTTCTTATGCACAGTAGAATTGTAAATGGGCTGATTTATCAGTCATGCTCATACTGTGCCGGAACGATAATAATTGTAGATAGCGTAGGGGGAACTGCTGCTTTTTCTTTCCTCATCCTTACTGTCATTGTTTTCCTCTACTTCTTTTGTATTAATTGTGTCACTCTCTCGTGAACTGCTATTTCCGGGGTGCCTTGATAGTCGAAGCAGACTTTGTGCTGTTGAGGCTAGAGAGGTGGGCAGAGTGTGCCTGATCCCCTGTTAGGACTTCTCTGTTGACAACCACCCCTTGGTGCTCATATGACCTTATGATGCTGCGAGTGCCGTAAAACCTTACTAAAACAAACGATTTTGAGGATTTTATGTGGTACAAATTTTTATCTCAGGTCAAGTACGTTTTGCTTTTCCTCCCTTGAGTTTTGTTTCTTCCTCCACTTTTGTCTTCATTCACATGGCTCATTTTCACTCCGTCACAACAGTTCTAGCTTTCTTCTTAGCTATGTTTCTGTCCGTGGAAATGATTGCTTTTGTGTTTTCGAAGATAATTCAATACAAGATGCAGTCAAAATTGTTGAGGACAGTCACCGGTTGTTGAGGTAAAAAGTGTTTGACTTAGACAGGTGGACGTCTTATCTTGTATCATTGTAATGTAAATAATATGATATGGGGGAAATGAAAAGTGACCATTTATAGAGGTGATTAGCTTATACGGGTGACAGTTATGGCAGGTTCGACTGCAGTTCATGCTGTGAAAGTAGCTTCCTCAACTCTCCTCAAATGGATGATCCTGACAGGTATGGAGGAAGTAGCCCTCCTCCCTACTCATATTAATTGTGCTAATGGAGGCATAAGGCGTGAACAATCTCTCACTGTGTATTAATGTTATTTTGTTGGTTTTTTGTGGGGGGGTTTTAATCAATAATCAGTTTCTGTTTCTTCATTTATGCATAGGTTCCAAAGTCATGAATGTTTCACCGGTGCTATTTTTTAAAGGTGGGGGTTGGGGGGTGTTCTGTATTAAGAGCCTGAGATCAATAGCGAAAGTATCAGGGTACAAGGCAAGAGGAAGAGCCAGAAAGACCTGGATACAATATCCCATCCAGCCAGGCCATCAAACTTGCTAGAGTAGAGACAGGGAGCTCTTTCTCCCCTCAACTCCCTAGAGGTACGAGAGGACGGGTAAAGTAAAGTAAGATCAATAGCAAATTTGTCATAAAGCTGTTTAACCTTTGTAAAGGGGAAGAATATGTTACTGTGTGTTTGACATGAATCCCTTTATTTCATTTCAAATTGATTGTTCAATAAATTCAATTTTTACATTGGATGTAAGTTAGTGAATCAAAGATGCTGAATTTGCAGGGTATGTTTCTAGAAACCCGGATGTTTGAAATTGTCCTCATTTTACTCTTCATATATATAATGGAAATAGTCCTGATGTGTTTGACATTGTGATCCATTGATTTTAAGTCCTCTGATGAGTGTAGCGTGCATTTCTTTGTAGCTAGTTGGCATTTCTGGTTTTTCTATTCCAAAGTTGATGCGTGTGTGTGTGTGTGTGTGGAGGGGGGGGGGGTGAAAAGCTCTTTTGTTGTTGCCTAGTTTCGTCTAGGACTGTTGGATACAAAAGCCTCTGTTTTTGAGAAATTTGCCTTCTTTTTCAAATAAAAGAATATATATATATATAGCTAGAATTTCTAGAGTCTGTGTTTGTTATTTTGTATTCCGGCCTCAGGGGTTTACTGTTCTGTGTCTCTTTGTTCAAGAGTTCACCCACTAGCTTCGAAATTGGGTTGTTGGCGGGTGCTCTGGTATGGGTTGCTCCTTTGCTATCAAACATCTATCGTCCTCATCTCTCCTCCTTTTTTCTTTTTCTTTTTACTCTCTTGTAAGACCTCTAATTTTCGGCATTTATAATTTGCAACTGCCGTAAAAACGATGACTGAATAAAATGTAACAAAGGGTTAAGATTAGGGTCAGGATGTGGGTGCTTGGCGGGTGCTCTGGTGTGGTTTGCTTCTTTTTTCCTGTGAAACATCTATCGTCCTTATCTCCCCTTCTTCTTTTATATGTCTGTTACTCTCTTGTAACGCCTCTAGTCTTCTGGCGCTCATATGGCCTTATGCAGTTGCAAGCGCCGTAAAACCTCTACTAAAACAAAAGGATCAGGATTATTGACTTTTTAGTAGATCAGTAGACCGTCAAGAGGAAAAGTCCGAAAAGTAACTGTTGTCAGACAGAGTTCCAGTGTTGGACCGTAAAACAGAGAACAAAACTATCTGTCAAGTAGAAAACAAAACTATCTCAGTAGACTGTCAAGTAGAAAACAGAACTGTCACAGTAGACTGGCAAGTAGAGAACAGAACTATCGCAGTGGACCGTCAAGTAGAACAGAACAATCGCAGTAAACTCAAGTAGAACAGGACAATGGCAGCACTTGGCTGGAAAACTGCGTTCGTACTTCGCACACAAACTGATGATAACACTCAGTGATGCTTACACGCACAGTGCTATTACAACAAAATTAGATTGGTCGTATTTTAGGATCCAAAAACTTTACCTTCGATTTTCCAAAACAGAATTTTTCGGGGTAGACCCCTTGTGCTTAAAAGCGACCGATTGTTGCATGAATTTCACAAAAGGACTCTGGTTTTGTTGCTTTTAGTTGTCTGCGTGTGTATTGTCCCATGACCATGATAATCAGCTCCTTCGACTGATAAGACACTGTTGAGTCATTACGGACCTGCGCAATATACTGATGACTAATTACTACGTGCACTTCTGTTTGTTTATGGTCCTTGGAAGTGCTCGCACTATAGCTAATTATTAAATAAATAAATGTTTATGTACTTCAAGTCTTATCAGCGCCTCCTCATCTTGTCTATGTCTATCTGACTGTTTCTCTCTCTCTCTCTCTCTCTCTCTCTCTCTCTCTCTC